CTGCGAGAAGTGAGGTTACAGGGATCCAGGCAGAGGGCCTTCTTGGTGGTGGGGCCCACCCTGTGGAACACTCTCCCACCAGATGTCAAGGAAATAGACAACCATCTGACTTTTAGAAGACATCTGAAGGCAGCCCTGTTTAGGGAAGTTTTTAATGTTTGATGCTTTATCGTGTTTTTAATATTCTGTTGGGAGCCGCCCAGAGTGGCTGGGAAAACCCAGCCAGATGGGCAGGGTATAAGTAAATATATATTTATTTATTTATCTATCTATCTATCTATCTATCTATCTATCTATCTATCTATCTACCTACCTATCCCTGATCCAGAGGAGCCTGTAGCAGTCGGGAGACTAGAGTCAGGGGCAGCAGAAGCTGCAGGATGGGAGACTGAAAAACAGGTACAGATGGAGGTAGAGAGATCAAGTTTGTGCAGAGTCAAGGGCTTCTACACCCCCTTCTCCTGCCCCCACCTCTCCACTGTCTCCCAGGACCAGGAAAGGATTGAAGAGGGAGAAGCAGAGGCAGTTACACGCAGGCACCGTCTCTGCCCGCTTGCTCACAGCTTGGGTGGGGGGAGATACATAAGCCGGGGGCGGGACTCTCCGTTTGAGTTCCTGTCTCATCAGGTGTACACCTAGGAGTAATGAGAGACATAGGACGGGTGGACATGCCTTTCCCTAACTTGTATGTGTACTTTTGACGATAAAGAGGTAATTCTTCGCCCAGGACATTCCTGGCCTAACAACATCATGACATAAACTCACAGTAACCTGCTCTGGTCAAGGTTCCAGGGGCAAGCTGTGACCCTCTAGAGCAGGGGTCAGCAGCCTTTTTCAGCCGTGATATGGTCCACCATCCCTCAGACCATGTGGTGGGCCGGACTATATTTGGGGGGGGGGATGAAAATGGGCCGGACTATATTTTTTTAAAAAATATGAATGAATCCCTATGCCCCACAAATCACCCAGAGATGCATTCTAAATAAAAGGACACATTCTACTCATGTAAAAACACGCTGATTCCTGGACTGTCCACGGGCTGGATTGAGAAGGCCATTGGGCTGCATCCAGCCCCCAGGCCTTAGGTTGCCTACCCCTGCTCTCTCGGGGCTTTCCCCAGGCCATACCCCTCTCTAGCCACACCCCTCTCTCCAGGCCACACCCCTTACTGATACTGACTTGCACCCTCCCTTTGCCTATCTGGAATGTGTCTTTGTTTTTTTTTTGTTTTGTTTTTAAATTACATTTATTGAAAATTTTTAAAATTACAGAAAAAGACAAAGCAGAGAAAGAAAAAAGAAAAAACAGAAAAGAGAAAAAGAAAACAAACCACATCCAACAATACAAATTCAAAAAACAAAAATACACCACAAACATATAAAGATAAAACCAACATTCTCAAATCTTCAACTTTCATTACCTTCTTTCTTTGACCTCCTCCTCCTCCCTTTTTTTGTATCCCAGTTATTAATTATCGCAGCAAATCCTTTCCATATTTCATAATATTCTGTCATTACGTTACCTTGATCTATTTTCATCTTATCTTATAAAAAATCTTAAAACTTAAATCTTATGTTTACCCACTTCTCATGACCATAATATTATTGCCTAATTCTTTAAACATTTTTGCTAGAGCCAAGTAATTTCGTTCCAACATTTTTCTAACAGTCATCAATTTTATAAAACAATCCTAGTAATAATAAAAAAAGAAATAGAAACAATCCAATCTTCATCCAGCGTCCCTTCCTCCTGGTCCCGGGTTTTGTCAGTCCTTTTTATCCCATCGATCTAGCGCATTAACCTGGTAACCTTATATCCGAGGCCCTTAAGTCCCTTCCATGTCCCTTCCGCAGCTCTTCTTCATATTCACCTTTCACTCGTGGGAACTCCAGCTTGGTAATGTTTTTGACCCTTTTCAACAAATCAGCCCCTTTTCCATAGTCCAGACTAAACTCCATGTAGTATTTAAAGTCATATTTCAGAATCCCTCCAAAATTGAGAGCCCCCACAGCTCCAAACATCTCACGGCCCATTGCCAGACTCGGAAAGTCCAAACATCCCTGCATAGGGGGGTCTATCCAACCCCCCATTTCCAAATCAGTCCAAACTTTATCTTTCCTAATCTGGCTTTTTCCAAGTTCATTTGTCAAATCCAAAAGCTCATGTTCCTGCTGAGCCGCAGCTCCCTCCATCTCTGGCGCCCAAGATTGCGCAACATCCTCTTCTCTCATCTGTTCTGTCAGGGCACACTCCTGATTTAATTCCTGGGTGGGCTCCGTATAGTTTCCCACTGCCTTTTCAAAATTCTGACCGCATTAGTCATCAAATCCGTCTTCTCAGTTAACTGTTCCAGTAGAGTATTTATTTTACAGAGAGCACACAACAGAGCTTCTGAATTCATTGTCCTACAAGGTCACAAGCCTTTTCCCACGATTGTAATCTGTGACAGCTGCAAGCTCCCTGGAATTAGTTACAGTTTCCCAGTCTCCCTCTAGGGGGAAAACTTCTAGTTGTTCTTGCAACAAAGTTTCTTTTTTAAGATATTTTGTCAATATTTGTTCCTTTAAAATGCGAAAGGAAACAGTGGAATCACTATGTTTCTCTTCTTTAGCTATCTGTCAAAAACGTTTGTCTCTGGTCAATGAGCTTCAAACATCAGTCCTGACACCCCGCTCCAGGATCAGGACGGTGGAAAGTTACTTTACTTTAAACTCACTTCTGCAGGTTTAAACAGTCCGAAAAAGATCCCCCTTCTTCTCCTGCTGCCGAAGGGGGGTTCGAGGATTTTCAATGATGAAAGCTGATCCTTTAGAAGCGATTTTCTAAGCTCTAGTTACATTGTCTTTGCTTTGTTCTTTCTACAAAGAAACAGAAGGCTGACTTCCTGTTTAGACCTTCCCGTTTCAGTACCAAATTGAAGTAAATTTTTAAATCCAATTCCTTTCTGCTCGCAAATCCTTATTTAAAGTCCAATTTGTTCAAAGTTTAAGTACTCACGGGTGCTTATTTTAGAAGCCAAATTGTCCCAGGAAAAGGCAGCGCTCTCCGGCAACGGCTATGCGGCTTCGCTCCACGGAAATAGCAGTTGACTCACAGCACCGCGCCGCTTCCCCCTCTTCGCTTCGGAGCCCGTTAGTGGGTTCCTTTGCGGGTTGGGGGGGTGCTAAGGGTGCCCGCCAAGTCCCATGGTCACAGGCTTCATCTGCCTGTGATTTTTAAAAGGGTCCCCGCTTCGCTGTAGCGGAAAAGACCCGTTTCGCGCGGAGCTAGTCCCTCCAGTTCAGAGGGAGTCCGCCATTGCCGATGGCGCCACCCTGGAAGTCCTCCTGGAATGTGTCTTTGAACTCTGATGACCCCTATTGCTTGCTTGCCTAAGTGGAGGGGTGCATGAATATGTGTGGAATCTATCCTACTGCCCCCCTTTTTTTGCTTCTTGCCCTGCTTATCAGTGATATACACCCTCCAAAATATTGTCCAGAAGGGAATATGGCTCTGGGTCTGAGAAAGACCACCCACTCAGTGGGTTTTGGAGAATAGGGACCCTCTGGCTGCAATTCTGAATTACTGTACACAGAAGAATGGTGGGAGGCGCCAGCTGGGAAACCCCCAATGGAAGAAGGCTCAGAGCCAGGGGATTGGTGGTGGAATGACGATGAGTGGTCAGAGGCAGAAGACTGGGAACAGGAGGTGTCGGAAGGGCTAACAGGCCTTAGTGAGCAGGGAGAGTCTGTGGCAGAGGGAAGTTCAGAATCAGAGGCAGAAGCTGAAGCTGAAGCAGGAGAGGAGGGAGACCAAGAGGCAGAGATGAGTCAGGCTGGTGAAGAGTCATGGGGGTCTCCCCCTCCTGCTGCAACAATCTCCCCTCCTCCCTTTTCTCCCAGAACCAGAAGAGGTATGAAGAGTGAAGAGCATAGAAAGGTGTGTCAGTGGAGTCTCGGATTGTTTGAGTAGGACCTGGTGAGGAGGAGATTTAGTCAGCTGTGGGAAGGTGGGGATCTTCAGTCTCCACAACTGCCTCCAAGGGCCAAGACCTACCAAGAAGAGTTGGCATACTCATTAGGTCTGGCACTCCTCAGCAGGTCTTCCTTGCTTCTTCTAATAAAGCATTAACTTCACTTCCTTGTGATTTATTGCTGGCTGGCACCCTGACGTAAATGCACTTGCAAAGGAATAAATGCCATTGTGTTTATTATGTCATTCTAGAAATTTGCCTGCTGACTCGTGGCCGGCGGACGGCGAGTGTGAGAGCAGACACTTACTGCCGCCTCTACTCCCTCTCAGTGGACAACTTTAATGAGGTGCTTGAGGAGTATCCCATGATGAGGAGGGCTTTTGAAACGGTGGCCCTGGACAGACTGGACAGAATTGGTAAGTGGCTCACATGGTTATTGAGTTACCTGCAAACTCATACTATGCAAACTCATAGGTATAAGGAAGCACTGGAAGCAAAATTCATCATCCAGAGGTTCTCAGCTTCTATGTTTTAAAAAGCAAGTTTCTAGTCCTTGTCGTTATTCAACTTTCTTCCACCAACAAATCCAGGAGAGAAGTTAATCTGAATACACAAAACAAAGCCAAACTCATTTCCCCCTCAACCATGCAAGAGAGATAAACAAAAGACTTAAGCTTCCAGCCCTGCAGAGACAAAACCATTAAACATGTAGCTGTTGTCGGGTGAAATCTTCAAAGCCTAACATTTCTTGGTGTCAGGTGGAATGGCAGGAAGTAGAACTCCAGTGCCTTGGGTTGCTTTTTATTCTTCCCAGTGACTTCAATAGAAAGAGACAAAAACTATACTAATCAACCAAATTTGCAGGTTGCAGTTTTTCTTGAAAAGCAGGATTTGCTTTACCTTAGCGCAGAATTTTGATTATTTTTGAATGCAGGTTACATGGGCTCCTGGTTCTAAGTATGGCAGATGTGGGTGTGCTGTCCTTCATTTTCTCACCCATCCATCTATGTCCTAACTCATACATAACATTCAGAGCTGCTTTCTTGGGGAAGGGCCACAGCTTAGTGGTAGAGCATCCTTTTTGCATGGCAGAAGGTCCCAGGTTCAATCCCTGGCATCTTCAGGTTGACTTTGCATCCATCTGTCTCAGGAGGTGATGGAGGAGTGTGCCTTTGGGACTGATGTCGAACTGTTGGAAGCTCACAGCGCCTGCTGTGGCTGTAGAGACTGATATGGGAGAGCCATATTTTCCTGCAGATGGGGCAGATGAAGGTGTCTGGTTGTGCTGCTGCAGACGAAAGAGCCTCCATTTGAAACCCTGAGGAGCTGCTGCCAGTCAGTGTAGGCAAGACTGAATGAGATGGATCAATGCACCGACTCCATATAAGGCAGCTCCCTGTGTTCTTAATGTGTGTGCAACAACAGCACACTATTTCACCTAGTACTTCATGCAGTGCAGGAAGCAGTGGTGGCTGCCACTGAGCAACAGCCCTTCCTACGCATTCTCTGCCTGGTTAGAAGTTCCAGAGGAAGTGCTAGGTAGATTTGGCTTAGGTAGGTCTCATACTGTCTCTGTGGAATGTTTGTGTGTGGCATTGGGGACAAGGCGCATGGATGTGTGGGCTGCACACTTTCACAGGAGCAGGTGAGTTCTGAGTATGTTCTGCATCTGTAGCCGTGCCTTGAGGTTCATAAATAGCAACACTCTAGAGGTCCCGGCCAGTAGTGATGTATGGAAGTGAGAACTGGACCATAAAGGCTGATCGCCAAAGAATTGATGCTTTTAAATTCTGGTGCTGGAGGAGACTCTTGAGAGTCCCATGGACTGCAAGAAGATCAAACCTATCCAATCTGAAGGAAATCAGCCCTGAGTGCTCACTGGAAGGACAGATCCTGAAGCTGAGGCTCCAATACTTTGGCCACCTCATGAGAAGAGAAGACTCCCTGGAAAAGACCCTGATGTTGGGAAAGATGGAGGGCACAAGGAGAAGGGGAAGACAGAGGACGAGATGGTTGGACAGTGTTCTCAAAGCTACAAACATGAGTTTGACTAAACTGCGGGAGGCAGTGGAAGACAGAAGTGCCTGGTGTGCTCTGGTCCATGGGGTCACGAAGAGTCGAACACAACTAAAAGACTAAACAACAACAACAACAGAGGTCCCGGGCCCTAAGGAAGTTAGATTAGCCTCAACCAGAGCCAGGGCCTTTTCAACACTGGCTCCAATCTGGTCGAACGCTCTGTCTCATGAGACCAGGGCCCTGCAGGATCTGATTTCTTTCCACACGGCCTGTTAGACAGAGTTGTTCCACCTGGCCTTTGGCTTAGAATCAATTTGATTCCCTCCCCCTCTTTCTTTTTTCCTTTCTCCTCCTGTGAAGAGGCTGCATCTTAATGTTTTAATGTTGTATTTTAATCTTGTTTTTTAAGTTGTATTTTAATCAACTTGTTTTTATTATTGGTTGTTAGCCGCCCTGAGCCCGGTCTTGGCTGGGGAGGGCGGGGTATAAATAAAATTTATTATTATTATTATTATTATTATTTGCTGAAGCAACACAGGTGAATTCAGAAGAGCACAATAGAAATTGTGCAGGCAGCACTATTCCAACCCAACGCTGTATCCCAAGTGGGGGAGGGGAGTTGTGTGTGTTTTAAATTCAGCTTCCACAAATCTCTCCAGCGATGCCACTTGAGAACCGCAGGGCTGCTGCTGTTCCATGATGTGGGCATACAAGAACAATGCAAGAATACAAAAGGACTTGAGGTGGGGGGAGGCCTGTAGCTGCCTGGATTTCTAAAGCACAGCCAAAAGGCGCATGACCAGGACACAATCAGAGGGACACACAAAGGCTGCTGTTAATCACTGGAAAATGCTAATAATTGCAAGCTTAAAATGTGATTAAGTGATACAGTTGTGGATAACTTCATTCCCCACCCCAAATGGCGCACACACTTTGCATTATGTGCTGGAGCCCTGTCGGGGGTGGGGCGGGGAAGAGAGAGAGAGAGAGATCTTGAGGCTGGTTGCACCTGACTTGACTATTCCTCATAAATCTCGCCCTCTCCCTTTTCAATGTGCCCAAATTCATTGTGCAACTTTGAACAGCTTTCTAAAACAAAGCACACAATTTTTCGGGAACATTGCTGAGGAAGAAAATGAAAACTCTTTCTTTCTCCTGCATTTGTTTTGCAGCAGATAAGAGACTAGAAAATGCTTCCCCGAGTTTGTCCTTAATGTAATGGAGGGAGAAGAACATAACAAAAGAACTTAAGGGCAGCTACAGTGGATCAGACCTAAGCGGTGCTATTTTTCTAGAAAAAGAGGTGCCAGGAACTCACCGTGAACACCTTCCTTGTTCTCTTACCATGTCAGTGGAGCCCACCTAAGAGGTGCCGGAACTGAGTCCCAGTGAGTTCCTGCTGAAAAGAAACCCTGGACAGAAGGGCCACCAGCCTTCCCCAGCCTGGTGCCCCCAGTCAGCATGGCCAGCAATCAGGGATGAAGGGAGTTGTAGTCAAGTATGCCAATGTGGGACGCGGGTGGCACTGTGGGTTAAACCACAGAGCCTAGGGCTTGCCGATCAGAAGGTCGGCGGTTCAAATCCCCGCGACGGGGTGAGCTCCCATTGCTCGGTCCCTGCTCCTGCCAACCTAGCAGTTCGAAAGACGTCAAAGTGCAAGTAGATAAATAGGTACCACTCTGGCGGGAAGGTAAACGGTGTTTCCATGCGCTGCTCTGGTTCGCCAGAAGCGGCTTAGTCATGCTGGCCACATGACCCGGAAACTGTACGCCGGCTCCCTCGGCCAGTAAAGCGAGATGAGCACCGCAACCCCAGAGTCGGCCGCGACTGGACCTAATGGTCAGAGGTCCCTTTACATTTACCTTTATGCCAATGTGGTATTTTGGTGAGAGTCTTAAACTAGGATCTGGGAGAATGGGGTTCAGATCTTGACTCAATGACCTCTTTTTCCACTGCTCCCCTCCCCGAAACTGGTCTTGAAAGAAGAATAGGGTGGTGTGTGCTCATGGTTACAATGTAGGTATGGTCCCAACCCACCCCCACCCTCCAAAAGGTTGGCGATCTCTGGTTTGGGCTTCTAGGAGGCCCCTCATTGCAGTTCTTAATTTTCTTCTGCTTCCTTCACAGGAAAGAAGAACTCCATCCTGCTCCACAAAGTCCAGCATGATCTCAACTCGGGTGTCTTCAACTACCAGGAGAACGAGATCATCCAGCAAATCGTGCAGCACGACCGAGAGATGGCCCACTGTGCGCATAACGTCCAGGCCGCCGCCGCCGCATCAACCCCCACGCCGGTTATCTGGACGCCACTGATCCAGGCCCCTTTGCAAGCCGCAGCGGCCACCACATCCGTAGCAATAGCTCTCACCCACCACCCTCGCCTCCCAACGGCCATTTTCCGCCCGCCCGTCTCTGTTCTGGGTTCCTTGGGGCAGGCCCCGAACCAGACTCCGAGGCAGCTGAGGAGACTTCACTCCTTGGTGTCTTCGGCCGGGCCTTCCATCGTGGGCTCCCCTTCAAGCACGCAATCCCAGCAGCACACCCCGGGGGCAGACACCCTCTCGTCGTCCTCCTTCCAGATCCAGCAGTTGGCTGGCTTCACGGCCTCGGCCGGCTTGGGCCAGTTCCACCGGGCTTCGGCTGGCTCTCCGTCGGCTGCCTCGACTCAGCAGCAGCCCTTGGGGAGCCCGTCCTCGGCAGGCCTGGGCCTGTTGCACCAGGGACCTTCGAATTCCCCAGAAGGGGTGGCTCAGCAGCAGGCTCCCGACAGCAATCTCCTGAGTGGCTTTGGCCCCTTCCAGAAGGCCCCTGCTAGTTCGCCATCCACCGCCTTCCCCCAGCTATCCTCCAATTCCCCCGGCAGCCCCCTTGGCCGCACCCAAGCCGCTTGCAGCAACAAGCCCGCCCAGCCAGGCCAGGCCCAGCAGCTCTCAGGAACTGGAGCCCTGGGAGGGACGAACCACTTTCCGTTGCCTCCCTCCTCAAGCCCACCACCCTCCAGCTTAAGCCAGCTGGCACAGGCCTCCGGAGGTTCCCCATCGGCCTCGTGCCAAACCCAGCCAAGTGCATTAGGACCTTCCGCTTCTCCTGCTGCGACCGTAGCTCAGTTGCACCACGAAAGGTCACCCTTTGCCTCTATGTCTCCTTTGAAACAGCCCGCCGGTGCCCCTCCTCCGCTGTTCCCACCCTCAGGCCTTAGCCCTCCTAGTCAATGTGCTGCAGCCAGGACTTTGCAGTGTGCCCCTTCTGGGGCAAGGGGCTCCCACGGATCTCTGCTGATGCCTCAGACCTCCAGTCCACCTGTACAGGTCCTTCAGCCCAGGAGTACGCCGCCGCCGCCGCTTCCACCCGGACGGTTAAGCCAGGACCTCAAGTTCATCTCTGCTTCCCATCCATCTCTGCCCCACGAAACGGCTCAGACTTTAAGCCAAGGCTCTTCTCCCCACTCCTCTAGGGAATCTGTTTCTAGTTTCTCGTCTTTCTCTGGAGGAGGGGGAGCAGGAGGAGGAGGAGGGACCAGGCCTCTAGGGAAGCCATACAGCTCTGTACCAGGGCGAGTGACTCTACCACGCCAGATGTCCTCAGGTTCACTGCCTCCGCCACCTGCATTTGAGGCCAGTTGCGCCATCCCCCCACCTCTGACTGCTGTTGTGACTGCTGTCGAAGGGAGGAAAGGGTCTATAGGGCTCACTGGGGAACGAGAGCCCATCCGATCGAAACTGCCCTCCAATTTGTGAGATGCTCTCCTTCTCTCCCCCTCACCTACATTTTCTGGCCGCCATCCCTCTTGGCCACAGTTTGGAGGAGCCGGTTTTATTTCATTTGTGCTTTTTAGATTCCAATAGACTTTTACATGACTCCCATTTTCTTCCTTTGTTTTCTTCAAGCTAACTATGATTAGAGGTTTAAAAAAAAAAAAAAAGGAGAACAACAGCAGCAAAAAAGATAACCAGGTATTCTTAGAGCTATAGATTTTGAGTCACTTTCTTTTATAGAGTATTTTACTACACGGAGAAAAAGATTGGGGGGTGGGGGAAGGAATGTAATCAATATGTGATAATAATAAGAACAGCTCAAAGAGTAGATGTGCAGCTGATGTAAAGG